TATAATTATTAGGAAAACAACAGTTAGAAAACTTTAGTCAAAAAACAATTCGGTGTCTTGAAAGATTTTTTCGAGTATGCTGTTTTTTTACTCTCCTCTAAACTTGTCATTTTTGACACAGAACTAATTGCAATATTAACAACGATATGGTGTGAAGCTCATGAGCATGGTTGACGCTTAGACCTCTACAGTGCTTATACTGGGTGTCCAGCAAATAGCACGACATACTGCAGGGGGTGATAGCTAGGGTCACTACCTATCAATGCAACACAATGTTCAGCAAAATCTTACGGATTTACAGTTTTACAAAATTTTCCGAAATACCGAAAAATCTCTACCTTCAAACAGATTTTTAAGCATCTCGTAATGAAAAAATCCTTTTCTAGTACTTTTTTTACATCAAATTATTCGTGAATAGTTACTTTACTCATTGATAAGCCTTTTTTCTATCAAAGACAAGAATATTTTCAAGAAATACAATTTTTTGTTTAAATTTGCACAGAACTATTTTCTTATCACTTAAGTTTAACCTACAGTGGTGAAAAAAAAAGTATGTGTCAGTTTTGTACAACAAACTTAAAAAATAGCTTGTTTAATGGTGATTTAGGAAAGATACAATACTAGTGCATTTTCATTAAAAAAATACAAAAAAATGCTATTTTAGTTCCAGAGAAGCTGATTTTGTTGAAAATGTAATTAACGTAATTTTGACAAAAACCACTATGAGAATAAGTAATAGCTGCTCATTTACGCGAATTATTATAAAGCTAGTTGTGACACGTAAAATGCGACATGCACGCGTAATGACTAAAGGTTTTCCCTGCTTGCCGACCGACCCGACCCGACCGGTTACTGTCTAACAAAAGAAGCGCATGTGCTATCCCGCTCTTTCTTGCATTGTGATTTTGTGCCTCACTCTCAACCTTATTTGCGACACTTGTCAGTACGCTACCTTAAACCGTGCGCAACGCATCTCCGTGTTCACAAATTATTGTTTCGTACTGACGACTGTTTTGTGCCTTGGACCCCGGACTTTGTTTGCCTTACGATTTGGATTTTTTATTGTGATCACTACGACGACTTGGCGACCACCTGGACTTTTGTGTTTTATAACATGGCCAACCGCCGCGTTTTTCCTGGTTATACGCAGCGAGAGTATGCTGAGATGCACCTTATTTACGGAGAAGCTGGGCAAAGTTCCCGAGCTACTGCCACCCTCTACAGGGAAAGGTTTCCCGATAGGAGACATCCACACCATGAAATGTTTACCAGAGTGCATAACTCCTACATGGAAGGCAGACTCCCTGGTCAACGTGGCGGTGGACGGCCTCAAGTTGTTGACGAAGACATAGTGCTACAGGAACGAGAACAAGACCCGACAACTTCGGTTAGGGCGATACAACGGCGCACAGGGATACCGAAGTCCACTGTTCATTCAGTACTTAAGAGGTATGGATACCATCCATTTCACGTACGACGCGTGCAAACTCTTTTAACTAGAGACTACCTGCCGAGAGTTCAATTCTGCCGCCGCATGCCTGAAATGCATCGGGAGGATCCAAACTTTTTTAATAAGGTGTTATGGAGTGATGAGTCAGCCTGCAGAAAGGACGGCTACTTGAATTTGCATAATTTACATAGTTGGCAATTAGAAAATCCGTATGTGTCAAGAGAAGACAGGTCCCAGTACCAATTCAAAATAAATTTATGGTGTGGGATTTTTAATGGCCAGATTGTGGGTCCCGTCGAGCTTCCACCTACATTAAATGCCAATAATTACTTGGAGTTTTTACGAGAAACCCTATCCACGCTCCTTGAAAATGTTCCGAGAGATCTAAGAGAGGTGATGTGGCTTCAAAATGATGGGTGCCCTGCTCATTATGGCCGGGAAGTAAGAGCCTACTTAGATGAAGCTTATCCAGGCAGGTGGATTGTGCGACTGGGACCGATATATGGCCACCTAGGTCTCCGGACCTAAACCCCCTGGATTTTTTTATTGGGGTGCCATGAAGGACAAAGTCTATGAAAAACCGATCCAAAATGACAATGAATTGAGAGCAAGGGTTAACATTGCAGCAAGAAAAATATCGGAAATAAGCCTGGGAAGACTCAAAAGCTCATTTTGAAGACGATGCCGAGCGTGTATTAGGGCACAAGGGAAGCAATTTGAGCATTTATTGTAGTTTATTTAAATAAATGTTTATTAAAGTTAACTCCTCTGTTTTTTTTTACTATCACCTTATCCTTCAAGATGTCATTTACAGACCGGCCGGCTGGTCGGCTGTAGATTAATTATTATGTAATTCGAACCGTAGTACGACCTTACAAATTCGAATTAATACTTGCATTTAAAATAAAATGCTCTTATTAACTAAAATAGCTTATTTTTTTTGTATTTTTTTTAATGAAAATGCACTAGTATTGTATCTTTCCTAAATCACCATTAAACAAGCTGTTTTTTAAGTTTGTTGTACAAAATTGCCACATACATTTTTTTTCACCACTGTAGGTTAAACTTAAGTGATAAGAAAATAGTTCTGTGCAAATTTAAACAAAAAATAGTATTTCTTGAAAACATTCTTGTCTTTGATAGAAAAAAGACTTATCAATGAGTAAAGTAACTATTTACGAATAATTTGATGTAAAAAAAAAGTACTAGAAAAGGATTTTTTCATTACGAGATGCTTAAAAATCTGTTTCAAGGTAGAGATTTTTCGGTAATTCGGAAAATTTTGTAAAACTGTAAATCCGTAAGATTTTGCTGAACATGTGTTGTATTGATAGGTAGTGACCCTAGCTATCACCCCCTGCAGTATGTCGTGCTATTTACTGGACATCCTGTATATACTGTGGAAAAGATACGGATGGACAGGGATTGACGCATGAAGAAAAGGAGTGCTCAAAACCTACAAATAGTATTTTACGGCTGACGAAACCTATACAAAAATCCAACCGAAATGTAACCGGAGACAATTGGTTTACATTAATCGAAGCAATGAACTTTTTGTAGGAAAAGGGTCTTACTTATGTGGGTACGAGGAATTCTCGTATCAACCATGCACATGACAAGTGTAACGATCACGAGAAAACAAAAATAATATTGTTTTATAATAACACGAAAAGTTGTGTTGATGGTCTGGACAAAATATGCAGCTACTATTCTTGTACCCTCAAAATGATAAAAATGTTGACAGATACACGTTTTTGAATACAGTCAACCAAATTTGCAAGCCACACATGTTGCAGCGGTGTTACAATCAAAAAATTTCTCGAGACATACGCGCTTCTATTAATCGAATCTTGAAAATAGAAGATGCAGAACCTGAACTTTCTACATCTGCAAAGCTGGAAAATCGTGGGACATGTACAATACGTCCAACAAAGAAAAAAAAGAACGTCATACTTATGCAAGAAGTGCAGAAAAACAGCATGACTAGATTGTCTTGAGAAAATTTTGATATAAAGAACCAAAAAAAAATTTTTTAAATAATTACCTAACTCTTAATTAGAGAATAATGGATTTTTTTTTTCTTTATATTTTATTAGAATTATCTCATCCTACTAAAACACAACAAAACTTCTTTATAAGTTCATGTGTATGATAAAAAAAAATTTTTCAAAAAAATTAACAGGCTAGATTGAGCATTTTCCACCTAGATTTTCAAAAAAAAAATATTATTTATTAAAAAAAAAACTCCAAAAACTTTTTTGACAAATGCACCGATTTTTAATCATTATGGCGAATCGGAGAAAGGTAAGTCGTACAATTTTTTGATATGTTGTAGAATTTGAGTTTTTCTAGTGATTTGTGCATTAATTATAAGTAAAAACTTCTAAAATATCATGATATACCTAAATAAAACATGTGGGGAACCACATGACCTAAGCCTGTCAATGCCTAATTACTGCGGGAGTTATTATGTCCATTGCCCGGTAAATTAAAATCTTTATTTTATGCTAGGTTTTTGCCACGGGTTTTATTTAGGGTTTACTCAAACATCTCATTTATCGAAATATAAAATTTGGATAGTGGTAAACTTTTGTCATCATTATTTGCCAGTCTACTCGTACTTTAGTGTATTTTTTGTTATTCAGGTAATAAACGATCAACAGCTCGAAAATATACTAAATGAAATGTTTTCATCAGAGGAAGAAAATGATGAAGATGAAGACCCATATTCAGATTATGTCCCAAAACCATTCGATGCAAGATTGAACTAAATTCAAGGTATGTTAAATCGACAGTTATTACAAATATTAGACGATGATGCACATCAAGCTTATAAAGAGTCACCTGATGAGGAAATTTCACCTTGTATAACATTGTCTGCACCATCCCATGACTTACCTGAAATGCTTACTCCTTCTATTAACGAAGAAAGGGCACCTTGTGTTTTGTTTTAGAACCTACTAAACCACATAGCCAGCAGAGTCTCCCCATTGAATATTTCAGTAACTTGTTTCCAGATGAGATTATTCAAATGATCGTTGAAAACACAAATAAATACGCGAGCATGAAACAAAGCAAATTCTGGAGTGACACCAACGTAAAGGAACTAAAAGCATTCCTAGCTATAATCATCCTAATGGGAATAAATCCTCGGTCAGATATAGAGCTTTATTGGAGCGCAGATCCTTTTTACAATAACATAGAGATTACAATTACACATCAATAGTACAATTATACATCAGTGGTAAAATGAGTAAGAGATTTAAAAAAAATTAGAAAATCCACATATTTGCGACAATTCAACTCATTTGCCCCAGAATCACAAAAAATCACGACAAATTGAAAAAAAAATAAGACCCCTGTTAGATTGTCTCAACAGGACTTTTCAAGAAAATGCCACCAACTCGGAATGCCAATCAGTGGATGAAAGTATGATCAAAATTAAAGAGCGCGACAGTAAGAAACAATACATGCCCATACCCATCAAAAGAGGGTTCAATGCATGGTGATTCCAAGACTGGATATTTATGCCAATTTGATATTTATACAGGCAAAGACCAAGAAGCCAATGAGGAAGGATTAGGTTACAGAGTTGTAATGAAACTTGGAAGGAATTTACCACGAAACACACATTTGGTTTTTGACAATTTTTTCTCCTCTTTGTCTCTCATGGAAGCTCTTTATCATAGAGGTATTTTGGCAACAGGAACAGTACGAATGAATCGAAAAGGCCTATCTAAAGATCTGTGTCCAACACGACCTAATACACCTGAAGACCGAAGACAGGCCAAAGAAAATAAATTGGATCTTGGAGAGTTTACATACCGCTTCTGCCACCCTTGTACTGTTGTCAAATGGCAAGACACTAAAGAAGTTTTCGTCGTAACAACTGCCGTTAACCCAACCAAAGTGGAAGTGATCCAGAAAACACAAAAGAACGGGCAAAAGAAAGACATGTTTTGTCCTACTGCGATCGCAGAGTACAAACGGAGTATGGGTGGTGTGGATCATCTTGATCACTATCGAAGTTCCTACTCAATTGGCCGCAGATCAAAAAGTCCTGGTTCCGGATGTTTTGGTTCCTGTTTGAGAGTGCCATTGTAATATATATATATATATATATAACACGTGTCACGTTGTTTGTCCGCGATGGATTCTATGGATGGACTTCTAGCCAACCGTAATCGGAAATTGCGATGTATGTTTTACGATTTTGGTTATTGAGTTGTTGAGTTGTTTCTCAATAACCAAAATCGTAAAACATACATCGCAATTTCCGATTACGGTTGGCTAGAAGTCTGAAATCGGGCCACATCTCAAACAAGAAACAAGATCCGGTGGTATATAAAAACAAAAAAGGAGGTGTTTTTGGAGTTCCGGACGAAATAAGATTGGGGCAAAGAGGAAGTAATTTTTTAGCATTGTCTACATACAAACGGTGCAGATTTTGTAGCACAAGGAAACAAGAAAAGCGGTCAAAATATGAATGCGAAATTTGTAAGGTAGCATTATGCATCACCCCTTGCGTCAAATTGTACCACCAAAATCAAAATCCAGAAATTCTCAATTAATTCTTTGAGAATTTCTGGATTTTGGGTTTTGTGGCTTTCTAATTGTTCCTTTTTTCTCGTATTGTAATAAAATCCAGACGAAGAATAAAAACTTTTTAGTTCATACTCAATCCCTTGTAATAGTTTATTGTGTATTTATGTTTTTTTTTTTTAATAAAGAACAAATGCTTACATTACATTTTACATTTAAACAACAAACAGTAAAAAATGCTATCAAAATGACAATCGTTTTTTTTTATTTTATATATATAGATAAAAAGTCGTCGTCTAAGACAGGCAATGGGATTATGTTTACCCACATGTTTTTTTTCAGGTTTTCAGCTAATTTTCTAAATATAATTGATAAAATCTCATACCAAATTTTATCACTCAACCAAATCTACCAAAAAACATTATTACTGCAGGATTTGTCCGAGGCCTGGTAAAGGATTAAAATCAAATAAACCTGATTTTATTAAACATGACCTTATTTTATTACCACTATCCCTAATATACATTACTTATGGCTTTATATTGTTACGTCATATTGACGTCACCTCTCCAATACTCTGACTCATATGCACGTCACCATACGAAGGTTAAAGATGAAATAGTTAAGTTAGTTACTTTAAACAACGTGAGTTGAAAAAAGGGACCTTTTCAAGACTATGAGCTTTTTTGTTCTACCTAGCGCCAGTTAGAATTTTATCAAATATGGCACCAAATAACTAAATGATGAAACAGTTAACGCAGTACCTTATAAACAACGTGAGATGAAAATACAAAAGAAGAAAGAAACTTTTCAAAAAAAATTAACTTTTTGTTACCTTGCGCCAACTAGAATTTTATCAAATATTGCACCAAACACCTAAAAGATGAAACAATTAATGCAGTACTTTATGAACATGAGTTGAAAATACAAAAGAAGAAGGGAACTTTTCAAGACTACAAGCTTTTTGTTCTACCTTGCCCCAGTTAGAATTTTATCAAATATGGCACCAAATACATTAATGATGAAACAGTTTACGCAGTAATTTAAACAACATGATTTGAAAATAAAAAAGAAGAAGGGAACTTTCGCCAGTTAGAATTTTATCAAATATTGCACAAAATACCTTAAAGATGAAACAGTTAACACGATACTTTAAACAATGAATTGAAAATACAAAAGGAAACTTTTCAAAACCATGAGCTTTTTATTCCACCATGCGCTTATTAGAATTTTATCAAATCTAGCACCAAATACCTTAATGATGAAACAGTTGACGCAGTAATTTAAACAACATGATTTGAAAATTAGCTTTAAGTAATCTCTCCGTTGTTGATCCACAACATCCTCCAATAGAAATTGAAATTGTGCTTAATACGAACCGCATACTTACTAACAATATTAATAATAAGAAAAATAATTACTATAAAGCTAATTATGATGCTATAAATAACTGTCTTGTGGAAATAAACTGGGAGGAATTGTTTTCCAAATGCCTCACTATAGATGAAATTATGGATAATTTCTACACTGTACTAAATAATATTATTAAGACTCATGTGCCGTGTAGTGAGTTTAAGCAGAGCAAATATCCTCAGTGGGTTAATAAATCACTCCTACGACTGCTTCGAGAAAAGAACAATTTACATCGTAGGTATAAAATATATAACAATCCTTTAGATGAGGTAGAATTTAAGTTACTTAACAAACGATGCGAAGAAGGGAACTTTTCAAGACTACAAGCTTTTTTGTTATTATACCTTGCGCCTCTTAGAATTTTATCGAGTCGAGAGCAATATCGAGTAACAGGTATAACCATAGAATACTATAATACATACATAATAGAACTGGGGAGTAGGCGGAGTTCGAGTAGCCACTAAAATGTCACTAACATGTCAATTTACACGTATAAATGTCAACACAAGATGTGTTTTGACGTTACAATAGTTTCCAAATTTCGCGTGCAAATTATTTGGAAAATACCAAATTACACCCTATGTACAAATAAATATGTACTAAAACTTAAACGATTTTTTAAAATATTGATCTTGAACATTAATCAAAAGTCTAAAATGTGTAAATTTATTCAGTCTGTCAACACAGCGAATCGGGTTTGGCGACGCCAATCCTCGTATAAAATAAAGTTGACCGCCATTCTATTCTGTATTATAGTATTCTATGGGTATAACTAACTTGTGCTTGTTCCTAGTAATTACAGACTGTACATCACTTTTTTAATCGGTAATTTTTTTAGGCGATTATCAATTTTTGTCGAGACAACATTTGATAAGCTCACCACCACACATAACAATAACCTACAAACTCCAACCACTGGACAGAACATTCGTGAAGCCTTTTAAAGATGCCTACTGCCAACGATGCGAGGTTTGGATGAGAGCACACGCTGGATTTCGGAAACTTGACTACGATATTGCTGGTCTGGTCAATGAAGCGTTTACAAAATCAACTTGGCTAGATATTCCGACGTCCGGGCCCAAATGCACAGGAATTCACCCATTTCACTGACATTTATTTTCCGATTTGGATTACTTAGGTGCTGATATGACCAATATTAAATCCCAAGAGCCAGGAACTTTTTCAAACACACCGGACTGTAGTGGAGAATTTTCCGTGTCTGTCACTGTTTTAGCCTACGATGCAGAACAAATCAACAATTTGGTCTCGGAAGAAGGCAAGGATCCTCATAAAGAGCCTACCAACAAAACAAGAATCAGCAATACCATGTCTTCGACAAGCTTGAATGTAGATGATGATAAGGGAAGAAAGGCATAGACTTGGTTGATCAGCTAGCAAGTTACAATTCGCCGGCGAGGAAAACCTCTGTTTGGTATAAAAGAAAATTGCTGCGGACCTTGTTTCTATAAGTGTAGTGAATGACATTCTGATTTATAACGAGTTACACCCACAGTCAAAATTGAAGGTTCTGGGTGGTTATCAAATCATTATAAAGAAATTACTTAAGGTGGAAACAGAACTTTTCAAGTTCCAGTTCTGCGAGTTTTTTGCGTCCTACAAGTCACAAGTGAACGAAAATACCCAAGAAAGCTAATGGAAAAATTTGGCGAAAACTTTACCAGTTGCTACAAAAAGCTGAAAGAATCGGGATTCACAGCCACTGATGCAAAGAAAAAGACTTCACAAGTTACAACCGAGTGCATTCCATGTAAAAAACCATTTTGCTTACAATGTTATAACGAATCTCACTAATTGCCAGTGGACTTTATTCAAATAATAATGCTTTTCAATAACCCAGTTCATGTTACCAACCAATTAAAAAAAATTCGCGGGACATTGGTGTTTTATTATTCCCACGTCACGTCACGTTCCTACGTCTGCAAAATATTAAAGACGTAGCCCTCACGTCCAGTCTACAAAACCCCATTCAAAAAGCATAGGCTCGTGCATTATCGATAAAGCTCGGACATCACAGCAGCAGCCAAAAATGCATTATATATAATGCACGGACGTGTTAAAATGCTATTTTACGCTGGTGTACTGTTAGAGCGTGGTCCTTCGAGCCGACCCATTCGTGTTGCAACCATAATATAGCCTGCAGCGTGGCTCTGCCACGTTTAAAAGTTGTAAGGTTGTTAGAACTACCTTATTACCGGGTGACTGCTTCGTTGGTCTAGTGGTTGTAGTAGTGCGACTGCTGATCAGGAGGTCCTGGGTTCGAATCCCGGGTCAGGCAAGAAATCAATTATTGAGTTTTTCTGTCCAGAAATTCTCAGTAGCTGCCCGCAGTCGGGAAGTCGGCGGTGTCTCACCCCTGTGCCTCGGAAAGCACGTAAAGCCGTTGGTACTGCGCCTGATCTCTCTCCTCCGGTCGTGTCGGTTTACCGTCCCATCGGATTATGAGAGTGAGGGAATAGAGTACGCCTGTGCTGCGCATACACTTGAGCACTGTAATCCTGTCCTGCGCCGATGGCTAGCCTCCGTTGAGGCAGTTCGCCGTGGCCGAAATTCGGTCTGGAGGACATTATTATACCGGGTGGTAGGAAAGCACTGATTTATAATAAACAAAAACAGTTGGGTTAATGTTCGTTTACCATTTTGTTGATAAAGGTACAGTCAAATTCCAAACCGTGGTATCCGGGAGGAAACCGGGTTCAATCTTCGCCGACACCAAGTAAATTGTTAATTGCATTTTTAAGTGCTTATTTATCACGTGCTAGACAGAAAAGTAAAACATCTTGAGGAAACCTGTAGGACTGAGAAATTTAAAAAAAAAACGAGAAAGAAAATATGCACACGCACTGCTCTCTCTTGCTTATATTCCCCACTCAACTTCCGTTCGCCTGGCCCGAAACCGCGCTCCGCTACTGCCCAAGTCAAGCGTGCGTAAAGAAGTTTCACTTCAAATGAAAAATCGAAGAGACGTGAAGTCTGCAAACTCGTATAGAGGTCACGCGACCAAATACTTCCTATGTTAGACAGGCAGTAACGTTTTAATACATTGCGTATTAGTTACGGTCAATTCTTCGTAACTTTAGCCGACTGCGAGCGGACGAAAAGACTTATTCTTTGTTTTGTAAACTACGAAC